GAGGTCTACAGAGGAATGAAAGTCAGTCGTAACAAAACAGAGTCCAGGTGTGTGAATGAGAGGGAGGCAGGTGGAGCAGAGGACACAAAGGTGCAGGACTTCAAGGACTTAGGGTCCACTGTCCAGGAAAACAGGGAGTGTGGTGAAGAAGAGAGTCCAGACAGGATGGAGGAAAGGTTCAGGAGTGATTTGTGAGGTCAAAGGAAAGTTTTACCAGAGACTCAGTGAGACCAGCTGTGTTGAACGGTTTGGTGACAGAACTGAAAGTGTCAGAGCTGAAGATGACAAGGAGTCTTCAGACAAACTGTGTTGCTTCATGTTCAGTAATAAAGTAATTTACATTTATTTTCACATTTTCAATAAGTAGAGTTTTAATCACATCTGTTTTATCAAGGTTTATAATTTAGATTTATTTACATCTCATACTYACCATTCTTTAACATCACCCTCTATAACTGGTCGTTTCAGTTCCTCTGGGAGGAAACAGTCAACTTGATTAGAACAAACCCAGTTTACGGAAAGGACGGGTCACGACCCATTCATTCAAGTCAGCAAAAAAGTTTTCCACTCAGCAAAATAACCCGGGCTGTTTCTCTGGTTCAAGAACAGAAGACATGCTGTCCACCACAGAGACAGCACTGAGTGGAAACATGAGTCACTGATGACTTGGTTTAATACTGGAATCAAAACACACAAAAACAAGAGTTCATATTTATGGTAATAATTTATTTATTAATTGAGAGAGGAGTCTTTGGCAGTGTAGAACAGGAAATGACAATGATTTAGAAAAAAATAGGACTTTAACGTGAGTCTATAGTGATTTCCCTGGGACGACCTAATACTGTTTTATCTGATGAACATRAAGCGGTCAGACCGGCTGAAGAGAAATCAGTCCTTTTTTTTTCCTGACAATCTGACTTTATTGGTTATTTTTCTTTTAAACCTTTGGCACTCTCTAATRCATGAATACAATTCAGCTCTGAATTCTGTTAAAAGTAAAAAAAACAACAACAAAGAAGCAACACCAAATAGTAACTTGTTTAGTGAAGAAACCGTTCACRGATTCATTCTTCAACCAGCTCAAGTGCAACTTTAAAGTTCATATATCGTTGAGTTAAAAGGTACAAATATTTTAGGACACTTCACTTTAAATTGCAGTAGGAGGCTAAAAATTCATCTTCCCAAAAAAGCTGAAACTGAGTGAAGATGTTTCTGCAGCTCAGATTGCATCTCTACACCCTGCAGACAGGGCAGGTAAGGCGTTAAGAACTAATGATCAAGTACTGGAACCAATCAGAATGCTTTTAACAAGGCATTGGTCACGCAGTTCACAGTCCGAAGGGGGCTGAGCATAAACACACACACACACACACACACACTGTGCACAAGCTCGTCAGGAGGCCTGACACTGGGAGAAATACTGACGTCATCCTTTCTTTCAGTCAGTTAATATTCAGAATACTGTTAGAGGTCCATTCGTTCATCAACAACACTTCTCAACACTCCATCCACTTCTCTCCATCGCCCTTTTAGGAGAAAAATAAAACTTCAGCTACATAAATATCACAACGGAGCTGATTCAACATCAGAATACTGTTGGAGGTATGGGGCCTCATGCATGAAACGTGTGCACACAAAAAGCTTACAGACACCATGTTTCACCAAAGTGGGCACGACCGAAACTCGACAATTTGCCATTTATTTTAACCTAAGGAGGTATTTCACCGTGTTTTCCCATGAGTTTGAGCTGAACAATGAAACTGAACCACATTTAACCACCTCCAGTGTAACCTAGCATGCCTCAAAGATTGAAACTGTCTAAAGGGCACTTCTGTTCTCACTGAGGAGGAAACAGTGTCGGATCAGCAGATTCATTCAGAACATGTGATGTTTCAAGGTGTGGGCAACATCACATGGTCATAAAGAGCAGTGTAAGGCTGCACATACTGGSTTTATGGAACAATGGCAGCTTTGGTGGCTGGAGGACGTCACTAATGGAAGAAGTGGGAGGGAGCAGGTTGTCCAGAGATCACACTGACCTGCTGACGCACGACGCTTGGATTATTATCTGATGTGAAGTCCAACGACTGGTCTTTTGTTGCTCTGTGGTGAACTGGCTCCAGTGGGTTGATTTGGGGGGGGGAACTAGCAGGACCTGTGTGTCAGTGGTACCAGTTAAAATCCTCACCACACTGGAGAGAGATGACTGACAGGTCAAGTATTGTAGGTGCCAGATATATCAAATTACTCCACAYCTCAGCTGAAACACTCATTTCTTGACATCAGCTGTTCTACCAAACCCCTGTGTGTGTGTGTGTGTGTGTGTGTGTGTGTGTGTGTGTGTGTGTGTG